CGCGCGCGTGTATTCCACGCGCGCCAAATCTCCAACCCTTTTCCCGATATATGTATTTTGTTAAGCCGCTTTAAATGATATCGTAAATCAGACAGATGTCCAAATTCTGCTTGTCTTGTTTTATTTGCCGGACAACAAAGCGAATTTGTATTGGGATTTTACAGAGAGGTTTTCCAGTAATAAAATAATATTCGACATGTTACTACTGGTTTATTCGCGTAGATACCAACAACAAACAGCGCTCGCTAGTTGTAATGTAAATCGGGTTGAATAAAGTACCGTCAGCATTTGTCAAAGGCTAATATTTATCGAAAGATCACTCCCACGTTGCTGTTGCAGCCACCGCAAAATCAAATGTTGTCACGAAACATGTCATACGATTGTACATGCTGCCATTTTGTATTTTATAAACGATGAACAAGTGAATATAATATAATTAATTATTATTATTTTAGTAAATTGTGTAATATAATATTTAAATATATAATTAAACATCGACGTGTACGAGCATATAATTAGGATTTCTCGTTCGTTCAAACACAAGTGTTTGGGATCTATTCTAACGCAAATTATTCCTTTCACTTATGCTTCCATACATAGTTATAAATTAATAATGAAGATAAATAAAAATTATATGATTTTCGTTAATTATATAAAATACATAAAATTAAATTCTATTTTTATTATATGAGAAACATTTTTTCACAAAAAAAATTAAAAGGATTTTATTAATTAAGAGAGGAAAAAGGTCACACTTTCAACTAACTTACATAATAATATCTTAAAAGTAAATATACTTTATTAAAAATAAATGAAGATCTAAAACATGTATGAAAGAGAATTAATTGTCAAATAATTTCCTATTACGAACAAAAGTGAAATAAGAATTTAATTCTTATAATTTTAGCACATCTTATATTATTAAAAGAATTCAAAATTTTCTTTAAAAATTATTCTATGAAAATATTTTATAAATACTACTATATTCACATTTATTATCAACAATTAACAATTAACAATTATTATCATCAATAGTAATTACACAATAACATTAATAACATCAGCAAAATTTATTTTTTGCTAATTTGCTGCTATAAAATATTTGCTATTAAATATTTCTCCCTTCTCATATCTGTCTTCTGTTCATCAGTTTCGCGTAAAACAAACTTCCCAGAACGAACTTTATAAGTGACTTATGTACGTTGCATATATATCCAAAACTTCGTGTAACCGGACGGTTATCCGCGAACATAACATAGGCGGGAGTTTACTAAACCAAATCTGCTGCGGTGAGCACAACCGGAGGCCGAACCGAGTATAGTGATGCGAGTCGTATCGACGCGCGAGATCCCGCCAGCATCTCGGAATGCGCACTGAGCGCATAGACTATCAACTGCTCCGGAATATTCATTCGGGTCCCGACGTTTACGGTGACTGGCGTGTCGGCGAAGTTAACCATGAGCGTCGCGACGGATGCGCCGTGTCGTCCGTATCACTCCTAGGATTTCCTCGGTGACCAACACGGTCTGCAGGCAGCCTCGCTTGACAATCGCGGCTTCCTTTTCAAACGCGACAAAGATTTGAATATATTGTAATGGGACACGGCGCCGCTTTTTGCGTCGCCAAATTCAGAATCCTGTAATTGCTGTTCACCGCGGAAGCCATGTTCATTGCTGCTGGAGAAGCCGGCGCTGGTGCTGTTGTCCCATTGAAAAGGCGTTCCCACCAAATCCCTTGATTTTAGATTATCTTGCATTTACCTTGCAAATCCCTTGATTTTAGAGATCTGCAAGCGTATGTGAGAAAATCGAAAATAAAAAAATATAACTAAATTAAGAAATATAATGCTAGGTCATCTTAGATACAAGTATAAGAAGATTTTTCTTTTCTTTTTCGAAATTTATATATTAAACGCAAAATGCAGTCTTTTAAGAAATTAAGTGCATTATAAAAATTAATAATATTTAAAAAACGCTATTTTATCGACATTTTTTCGATTGAAAAGATAAATATAACACAAAGTTATATTTATACAAAATTCTGGAATTAGAATTTAACACTTTTGATAAAAATAGCAGAAATTTAGCTTGAATTATTTTTTGACAACTAAATTAAGAATTTTAATAACGAAAATTATATTGAATATATTTGTATCAATTAATGAGCACTTATTCGATATATAATTTCTTAACTAGAGGTGTGCGAAGTAGTTCGATTTCGAATCGAATCACAGTAGATTCGATTCGAGTTCGTTTTTGAATCTGCAAGATTCGAAATCGAATAGTTCGAGAATTTCGAATCAACAATGGTTCGATTTCGAATCGATCGCCTAATGTAATATTAATCTGGGAAAATTTGATTCAGATTCGATTCGTATTCAAATTAAAGAGATTCGATTTAATTCGATTCGAAGTGAAAATTTCAGATTTGATTCGATTCGATTTCGAACATGTTATAAAAATTCGATTCGATTCTATTCGACCATGCAAATGCTTGATTCGCACCTCTATTCTTAACATTATAAAATATAAAGTATCTGCAATGTACTCGAAAATAAGATAGTGCATTTATGGATATCGAATCTGTTTAGACACACAGATATTGTCCAGGTTTATCTTCGCTTGTGATGCCTGTCAGGTCCAGCGATACACCCGATAGGATCCTTGGTTTCCGCGTACGTGAGACTCCTATCGAGCATGCCGATCTCGTCACCGTTGTAAATCACGCTCGCGCCGGGTAAAACTGTCGGCAGCATGGAAAGCTGATCGGCACGTTTCTCGCCGAATCTGGAAGCCGCGTGACGATTGTCATGATTGCCCACCACCCAATTCGCGACGTACGCTGGATCGTTAGGCATATTGTTCGCCCAGCGATCGATGAGACGTTTAAAGTCGGCCGCGCTGGGCTTGTTGTTCAAGTCAAGAGAACAAACATAAAGTTGAACGGCAATGGTTCGAACCTAATTCTCAGTCGCAAAATCCGTGTCGGCCTCGGTCAAGATCATTTTTGTGTCAATCACCATCGAGCGATTGGTAGGCCAGTAATTCTCTTCGATGACTCGAGAACTTCGTAATTCTTGCGAGGATTTCTCGTGTAAATGTAATCCAAGATTCCGCAATCGTCGTCCAGTATCCCCGGCACGTTTTTCCGCGGCTCGTCAAGGTAACGCGCATCCTCAAACAAGTGGCTGACGGCGTCGATGCGAAAGCCATCCGTATCCCCCCGATCCAGCCAGAAACTCGGCACGTTCCTCATTCCGCGACTGCAACGCGACGCTACACGGTAGTCGAGATCCGCCTGAGCGGACGTTGAACTGACGGAGATAGTATTGTTTCCGTGACGAGTTCCATTCCCAGGCGGAGCCGCGGACGACGCGCTCTGCAGCCAGTTGCTGGGGTGGTCTCCTAGCGCCGTTCGCCATTCGCGCGTCACGCCAGATGTATAGTGCCCGTCGTAGTAGCTGGCTTGATCCGACGCTTTTTCCGAAACATTCGTGCTCGTGGAGAGCTGTGTGGTTCGGCACGAAATCGAGGATTACTCTCAGCCACCCGAGAGACCTCCCGCCTTCGCCACGAGTTTGCCAAAGTCCGCTAAAGTACCGTAATCCTCGTTGACGTCGGTATAATTAGCGATGTCGTATAGCCAAAGTCAAACTGCGTGTAAATCGGTGACAGCCTGGATGGCGCATCGGCGCCGCCAATGTCCGCGATATGCTCCAATCTGCTCGTGATGCCCATTCAAATTCCATATACATAGATATATACATCTCCGTTACTGTCCTTGAAACTTCTCGGATAGACTTGGTATATTGTTTAATCAATTTCTTGTTCACTCTTTTGACGCGGAATAACACGGAAGTGTTGATCAATTATAACATGAAAAATAGTTTTGTAAAAATTATTTATCAATTAACATAAACATATTTAGTTATTATTTGACGAAAGGATGTGTATGATCAAGAATTGTTTGCTAACGATTAATTTAATGAATCAACTATCAAATTTTACTTATAATAAATATATTTTTTATTTATAATAAATATATTTTTTATTTATAATAAATATATTTTTACTTATAATAAATATATTATAATATGATTATCTATTTTGATAGTCAAACAAAAAGTGATTAAATCAAATTATTACAATTATATGCACAATTAATCATATTTTATTTTTTAAAATTTGTTAACAAGTTATAATAAATCTATACCACCCTGGAAGTCATTAGAACAAGCAACGCTGCGATGAAGATACGCATCCGAAGCATGACTAATTCGAATCGCCGATTCTACGCGCTTTTATACTTTACGCGATGAACTTTTTGCAAAATTTGTAGTAGTGAATACGTTGTTGAAATATTATTATTTTTATTTGATAAGCTTGCTCAGTAGCAAATAATTGCATTCCACAATTATTGATAACGATACCTTACATTCTTTACGATAACATCAAGATCACCTGATATCAGAGAGCTTTCCTCTTATATAATTGCTCTTATAATATATCAACAGAGAAGTTTCAATTATATCAAAAATATTTATTGCGCGTAAGATGAAAATTTACTGCAACTAAAGCGTTGAAATTTATGGTATAACGAGTAAACAAATATACAGTACAAAATTGAATTGCAACATTGTTTCGAGCTTATTTCGCAAAAGTGCAATTTTGAAAAATTGAAATATTTTTTACAGATGAATTAATTTGTAGAAATATGTAATGTGCTTTAATATTGCACGTAGAAAGAATAATTAAAATGGCGCTTTAACGCGCCGTAGGGCGATAGTTATTTTGATTTAAATGCGCCGTGACAACTAATTACAAAAATATATTTTATTGAGGAAAATTGAAAATGAGAGAATAAAGTTAATAATGAAGGAGCGAAAGAAAAATTAGTTATTAGATTTGAGGCGACTTACAATTAGTCAAGGATTCAATAAATAGTATTTTAGCACGAATTCATATTATCTCATACTGGAGGATAATAAAAAGTTACTCTTATTCCAGCTAAAATAAAATTTATTTTATCACAAGAATGCGCATTTTGTAGATACATAGCACTAATTGAATTCAAATGCTATCGGAAACTTTTATTGCAATTAATAACACGATAATAATTTATTTCTAATCGTTTCTTGTTACAAGCTACGTTTTCTTCGAATGTTTATTTTCAACTTTACATAAAGTCTGCCCGCAGAAAAGATGTGTTTACGTTTATACATGGATGTATATTCGAAAAGTTACTTAAGAATTATTTGTTAGCATGAAATAAACCAAAATTTAGTTATACAAATCTTCGGTGGTGTACACAATGGAGGCCGAGCCGGGCAGAACGACAGGAGCCATATTTTGATATGACCCTGGAAGCAGTTTGGAATCCACGCTGGCTGCATAGACAATCAATTTCTCCGAAATGTTCAACCAGGTACTAACGTCGACGACGCCATCCGTGTCATCGAAGTTCACCAGGAGGAGCACGATGGATCTTTCGTGTCGTCGTACCACTCCTAGAACATTTTCGGTGACAGAACACTCGTAACAGTACAACGCAGTCTGTAGGGATCCCTGCGCGATGACAGGCGTCTTCTTTAGTTTCGTCAACGCCTTGAACACGTTATAATGAGAGACCTGCTCATCTTTTTGCGCCGCTAAATTTAAATCCTTATAATTTCCGTTCACTGGAAGCCAGGTTTGTTCGTTGGTGGAGAAGCCGGCACTGGTGGTAGCGTCCCATTGATAAGGCGTTCTTTCCGGATCTCGCGATTTCAACTGATATCTAAAAACCAATAATATCATTAATTGTTAAAAAGATACATGAATAAATATTAATATAAAGAATTATATGAATATATTTATATAATATATAAACATAAAAAGATATAATAGTTTTAGAGAAATTTATATTAATTTAATATACTTCTTTTGAAATATGAATTTATCATAACTTGTTAACAAAATTTAAAATACAATATAATTAATTGTGCGTATAATTGTAATAATTTGGTTTAATTATTTTTTGTTTGATTATCAAAATAGATAATCAAATTATAATATAAGTATTATAGTATAATTATAATATAAGTATTATAATATAAGTATATATAAGTTTATTATAAGTAAAAAGTTGATTCATTAAATTAATCATTAGAGTTTTGTCTGGCTGATTCCACCTTGTCGGAAGGATGAGTTGCCAGGACTGTTGGTAGACTTTGAAATTAACGGCTCCAAAATATTAAAGATAAAATTTAACGTTTTATTCGCGTTATTATAAGTCTTGAATTGAGGTGGATCCTTAACTTGCTCGTCGAGCAGCGCGGCACTGACATTCGAAGAATCGGTCGTAAAGTACGTAGTGTTTTCCAAAGTCTTTCTTCGACAATTGCAATAGTATCGCTTCGCAATATTAAATTTAGTGCACCAGTAATTTCGAAAGAACGTATGCTTGATACGCTCGCGAATTGTTGTCGTTTATTATATACTTTCGAACGGACGTCGATTACAAAGCGAGAGTTTTAACGATTGTACGATTGGATCGATGGCTACTCGTTTACTTGCTCGATGAGTCGCGGATCCGTCAGCTCTCAGCTGATTTCGGCGAACGCTCCAGTTAAACTGCTGAGAGAAGGGGGTTTATCTACGTGATGTCACACTCTCGACAGTTCGCGACGCAAACTTATAATGTGAGACTGTTAATGCAAAACAATTAAGTAAACAATTCCTGATCATACAAATTCTCTCATGATAATAAATAAATATATTTATGTTAATTGATAATTTTTACAATATTATTTTTTATGTAATTGATTAACACTTCTATACTATTATTTTAGACAACAGCATAGCATTTTTATATATGCTATTATTATAGATAATATTTGAATTGTGTATATTGCTATTATATTTAATTATTATAAATTTAACTTAAAGAAATTGATATAATATATGTAGCGCACAGTTTGTATGTGGCTTGATATTGTGACAGTAAAAATTATTATTACAACCGTGTCGGATCGTAAGAGTATTATTGAGCAATTTATGATTTAATTATGTTACGATACGAATCTATTTAGACTCATGGTTTTTGTAACCATACCTGTCGGGTCCAGCATTGCAACCGGCAGTATCCTTGGTTTCTTCATACGTGAAATATCTGTCGACCATACCGATCTCGTCACCATTGTAAAACACGCTTACGCCGGGCAAAATGGTCGCTAGCATGTTAAGCTGATCGGCCCGTTTCTCGCCGAATCTAGTAGCCGCGCGATGATTGTCGTGATTGCCCACCACCCAGTTCGCAACGTATTCCGTACTGTTAGGCATATTTTTCATCCAACGATCGATATGGTACTTGAAATCGGATGCGCTGGACTTGTCGTTCAGATCGACTATGAACATGAAGTTGAACGGCACCGTCGAGCCCGACAGATAGTACTTCATGGTGAGATCTAAGTCCGCATAGACCTCAGTCAGGAACATTTTCGTGTCAGCGGTCGGCGAGTGACTGTCCATCAACTCCCTCCAAGTCGCGAGAACGTCGTAAGTCTCCGGAAGATTTTTCGTATAAATGTGGTCCAAGTAATCGTAGTCATCAGGCGGTACGTCTTTATTACTTCGCGGCTCGTCCAAGAATCGGGAATCCTCGTACATGTGATTGATAGTGTCAATGCGGAATCCCTCCACGCCCCGCTTCATCCAGAAAGTCAACACATTCTTCATTTCTTCTCGCAATTCGGCGTTGTGGTAGTTGAATTCCGGCTGTCCGGCGGCGAACTGATGCATATAATACTGCCCGCGTTTCTCGTTCTTCGTCCAAGCGGGACCCCCGAAAACGCTC